ATTATATAGGCACACTAACGTGACATTTAGATGGATCGTTTAACTATTATACGTGATGTACGGTTTTTTGGGGGGTGGTAAACGAAAGTGTTCCAAAACGCGACATTAATTTATTGACGACCTAATAGTTACATGGACATACAACATATCATATTTCTGTAGATTAATTGAAAGTTCTTCAGTTATTTCTGTCGTAGATTATTATAACTACTCTAACCAGTTAACCAATACTAAAAATGATTATCAACTGCCACTAATCACCCAACTATAGTTCAGTTACATACTTTGGGATTGGCAAAACAATATTTTACAAATGGACAAATGCATTGTTCATAGACCAGAGGTCGCATAAAAGTATTCAACTTGTGTTTCTTTTGTGAAGTACATTGGATAAATGTTACAGAATATGTATTCCAAATTTATCTTAGTCAAAAATTGTTGAATTAAAGTTACAAGTATTTTTCTTAACTTTTGAAAGTTGATATGTAGGTGTGCTTATGACAGCTGAAAGGTGCTCTCCGATCTGAATAGAGTTAATATCTACAACTGTAATACTCTAGAATGGTAATTTTCCAAGAATGGATGTAACATTTTATTTCGCTACAGGCAGTCTGTGGGTGTTGTAGGGAACGACATATTTCTTTCTTGTTGGAAAGACTTTAAAATGCACATTTTTCTAAGAGACTTTATTTAGTTTATATTGTCTCAGACATGAGCATGCATTTGTTTTCATTGATAAACTCAAATTAAAATATGAATAAAAATTCCAGATGTAAATCAGGCAGGTACGAAGCCAGATGTTCCCACTCTTGTGGTTGCGATGATTTTTTATTAGGTGTATATAGATGAGGATATTAACCAGGATTTGAATTTTTTTTTTTTTTAAGGAAATGTACCACTGAAGATGTAAACCTTCTAGTGGGTCATGGTCCTCCCCTCCCATAAAAGCTTGAAGTTTTATATAATCTGAGCTGCATTTTTATATTTGCAGACCTTTATTTAAGTTGCGCATCATTAGAGGGTAATTTTGGATGTTGACTTATTTTAATTACCTGTATGGAACATGAGTGGAAAATATTCTGATGGCTCAAATCCTTGTTTATTGAATATTATTTTTAGATTTGTTGTATTCATACAACTTATTTAAATTTAGTTTATACTTTATTGAAAAGAAGCTATATTTGTTAGATATAAATATTTTTAACATCCTGACAAAGTTAATAGGACTGGAAGCAGTGACTATGGTAATAAGTAATATAAAGTATCAAATGAAATGTGTGAATAAGTATCAGTCTAGTTGAAACTGACTGGATATATTTTAAATGATGTTAAAAAAAGAATTGAAATTCTAAGATAACATTTTATGAAACTGTCTCCCAAATATCACAGCCTAAAAAACATTATAGAAATACTGAATTAAATTGTATGAATGTTTTGAAAGACAAAATTAGATATTGTTTATTAAGCAGACAGTTTAGTTAAGTATTGTCACTGTTCAAAGAAACAAGATGGATATCAGTGATACCCCTTCAGTCCAGGGAGGGTTAAGGTTTTAGTTACGTATTGTCACTGTTCAAAAAACAACAAGATGGATATCAGTGATACCCCTTCAGTCCAGGGAGGGTTAAGGTTTTAGTTAAGTATTGTCACTGTTCAAAGAAACAACAAGATGGATATCAGTGATACCCCTTCAGTCCAGGGAGGGTTAAGGTTTTAGTTAAGTATTGCCACTGTTCAAAGAAACAAGATGGATATCAGTGATACCCCTTCAGTCCAGGGAGGGTTAAGGTTTTAGTTAAGTATTGTCACTGTTCAAAGAAACAACAAGATGGATATCAGTGATACCTTTTCAGTCCAGGGGGGGGTTAAGGTTTTAGTTCAGAAATTATTATTCGTATTTGTTCCAGAAATGAAGTATGATTTCACTTCACTGTTTAACTCAATATTGGTGAGAATACTGTTTGATACCATGAATGTAGAAGGACTTACAATCAAAGTACTGATTGACAGTAATGAGTGTAAAACAATTACATGACGAAACAACAGAAGAAACTGAATACATTATTAAGTGATAACTGACAAAGGTAGTTTCCATTTGGGTTGTAAACAAACTTGTCTGTTCAAGTTTTTGCTCATCCAAAATACAGATGAACAAATCGTGGCTAAAAACTTTATATAAACAGTAAACGTTACAAAGCCTAAAATCTTAATAATTTTGACATGCTTTCAGATATCATCTGATAGAGAAAAGATTACTGTGGGTTTATTTTACTTATTGAAAGGGAAAAAAAAAAAACTTTTTTAAAGTAACCAGTTGATCACAGATGTTCCTCTTGTTTTTTCTTAATATATCCTCTTAATTATGTCCAAATCTTATCTTCTAAAGAAAATTAGTTTTCTTAACTTTTATGCATCGTAGTTCAATTTGTGATATCTGTTCTAGGAGTAACGAATTACACCGTAAATTTTACTTTTCCGTTCCTTTTGAGGTTGTTTAAGGTTTCATCACTTAGCTTATTAGAAATGTTATACAAATTGTGCCATGTTATTTTAAAGGGGGATGAATGAAAGATGTTTTTGTTGTTTTGTTTTTTTGTGTACAGTAACGGAGAGACTAGTAATGACAGAAAAAACAGAACCAATCTCTCCTGAATGGGTTAAACCTGCAGAAGTATTAAGATTAAGGAAAAAATTAAAACGGCAGTCCTTGTCCTCGGTTCTTCAAACTGTTGATTTGAATTTATCTGCGCAGCAAACGTTCGTACGTAGAATTCCAGTTCCGAAAGTAAAGGCTGTAAACCCATTTAGGTTTGTCATATTATTATTATTATTTTAAGACTTAAGATACAGTTAAAGGGTATTCTGCTTGAAGTAAATGGTGTTAGAACATTTTACAGCTAACTTAATTTGTTTCATCTAATTTTATGTAAGTATAACATTTGTTTCAGACTACAGTAAGTTACTATTAAACTCAGTTTAAAATGTGGCTTTGAGCAAAATGTAATGTTTGAAATATATATCTATTGTAGCTTGTGTTTTTAATCTATGTGTCACTAGATATTTTTTATTGTTTTTTTGGCTAGAAGAAAGTTTAACATAACATGAAGCTTAGGAAATACATTTAGCCATATATAAAAAACAAGTTAAGCTAGAGTTGGTTAATTGGTTTGTTAGCGTGAGTAATTGAGAAAGCTGTATGTCAGTTAATGAGTAATCAGTACATGATACTGTTAATGAGTGTTATTAAGGTAACAAGTTGGTATCAGTTCATAAGTAACTAGTTGGAGTACCCATTCCCTGAATGGACGTTATTTAAATTCATGATTAATGAAAGGTTATCTTAAAACATGAAAAGTTGCTTCCCTTATATGTAATTGTAAAAATGCCCATTAAAATGCAAAACTGAAAATTTGTATGTATCTCGCCATGGATCCAACAAATCTTCATGCCAAATTTGGTGAAGATCCATCAATAGGGGACAAAGTAGTGGTTAAAAATGCTCATAAAAACTGCAAAATTCTAAACTGAAAATTTGTATGTATCTCTCCTGGACTCAGTGAACTTCCATACCAAATTTGGTGAAGATCCATCAATAGGGGGCAAAGTAGTGGTTAAAAATGCTCATAAAAACTGCAAAATTAAAAACTGAAAATTTGTATGTGTCTCTCCTGGACCCAGTGAACTTCCATACCAAATTTGGTGAAGATCCATCTACAGGGGGTGATGTAGTTACATGAACAAACAACAGACAGTACTATTATATTTATATAGATTAACACACTAAATGTGGAACTCCAACTTGAAGAAATGAAACTTGTTATCAAAATAAATAGAAACTTTTACAACAATGTTATTTATATAAACTGACATTTTTTGGTGCTGTATAAAATGACACCTAGTGGTATCTTTTTTTAATACAAATAATGTGATTTATGTAACAATTTAGAATATTACAGTTTCAAATGTATTTTGATTAATAATTACATTTAATAAGTAGTCGTACGTCTGGCATGGTGGGTGGTGATGACTAGCTGCCTTCCCTCTAGTCTATCAATTCTAAATTAGGGATGGCTAGTGCAGGTAGCTTTTGAGTAGCTTTATCTGAAATTCTAAAAGTTAGAAAACCTATCTTTTAAATGGATGGTAGCTTTTTTTAAAAAAAATCACAAAATTCATTTTTCATGTATAAGAAAAAAAATGTGATGAAGAATATCAGTGAAAGAAATAAGACTATTTAATTATGTATTTCTACATCTTTCTTGTGTTTTTAGACGACATAGCCCAAAGAAGCGATCATTGAGTGAGGTATCTCAAGACAGTGGAGTAGAAGATCCTGGAATATTCAATAGTATTGCAAAAAAAGACAAGAAAGATGAGGTAAAATTGTTTTAGTTATCCAGTCTGATTATGCGATATTACTAGTGGACTTTTTTATTTCTTGTTTTACAAATTTGTAATCAAATATCTTACAATTGTTTGAAAGTAAGAAAGCAAAATTATTAAATACCAGCAAAAGTACTCAGCTTTGCTCAGTTTATTTCGACTCGCAATTTGAGGGTTGCGGGTTCGAATCCCACTCCCACCAAACATGCTCGCCCTTTCAGCCGTGGGGGCGTTATAATGTGATGGTCAACCCCACTAATCGTTGGTAAAAGGGTAACCCAAGAGTTGGCGGTGGGTGGTGATGACTAGCTGCCTTCTCTCTAGTCTTACACTGCTAAATTAGGGACGGCTAGTGCAGACAGCCCTCGTGTAGCTTTGCGCAAAATTCAAAAACAAACTGCTCAGTTTATTAGGTTGATATATTCTAGATGACTATGTCAGTGTGTTTATATTCTGAACCTATTTTATCATAGAAGAACAGTCAAAAATATTTTAAACATTTATATTTTCCAGAAACATAAAAAAGATGTAAAGAATTATTTATTATCAAAGAACTTCATCATTGCATTAAATATTTCACATTTATATTTGATATCACATTTTTATCAGTTGCAGTCCTTCAGGTTAGATAGTATTGGGTATTTTCCGAAAGAAATCATGAACAGTCATACAGACATGCTCAATAATAATAATATAATTAAAGGAGTGGTTCCTTGTATTACAAATATAAATCACAGACAGCCATGTGCACATCTCTTTAAGAGGCAATTTAGTGAAAAAACACATAGAAAAGAATGACTCCTTATATAACAACTTCTAATATATATATATATAGAAAAGCCAGTGCATTTTGGTAACAGTGCATTCCAACAATGGCTTTTATATCATGTTGCTTAGCACTAAAAGTATAACCTAATACTGTTGTTAAGAGGATAAATGCTGAAAGTTTAAAATGAAAAGTATATACTACAAAATTGAAAAAAAATATTTGTGGTTTTCTGTCTGTCTGTGATTTATGTCTATAATTTGTAATATAAGGAATCACTTCTTTTTTTATGTTTTTTTTTTTGCTAGCTTGCCTCTATAAAAAGATGCACATGAGTGCATGCAAGTGGATAAGTAATAATACCCAGTAGCACATTCTCAGGGACCACTTAGTAATTGAATCAGTCTGTGTGGACATTTGACAAGAAAAAGAGAATTATTTAGAGTTTTAGATAAAACTGTGATTTCCTATAGTGTAAAGAATTTTTGTACATACATTTTGACTTGTTTTGAATATATTATTTTAAAACAAGTGGATTGTGTGTTGTACGTTTATTGTTCAAATTTATCGCCAACAAGTCACAGACACCTACAAAAGAAGAATCCCAGCCCACTCATATTTAAAACCCTGAGATAACAAAATATGAAAGACATGCAATTTCTATTGAGACACTAAGTTTACGAAGCTAAAAAACAATTTTGATATTTCCACAAATCCTACAGTAAACATTGTGATAACAAACTGTACCAAAGTCATTACACAAAGGATTAATCATACTTAATAAAAACAATGTGCATATACTGATGCTATAGCATGTTGTCTCAGATGTAGTTGGAAGAACTTGTCATAAACCTTTTCAAAAAAGGATATTTTTATAGCAAGATTGTTAAACATTGTACAGCCACAATACCTTTAGAAAATTCACATCAGAACGTCTAGAACAGCAACAGGATTGTGGTGTTGATCAGTAGCTGGGTACGAATAATGATTGAGAAATACTTATAAAAGCAGGAAGGGACCTTGAACCTCGTACTTATCAAATTATAATAACCCTTGGTAATTAAGCTTAAATTTCATAATTGGATTTAATGATCTGATTAGCATTCAGTAATTTCATAATTTTCTGCTAGACATTGTGAAATGTTTTGAGCATGTATGAAAATTGAGTTTAAATAATGCAAAATTGTTAAACCATTTAATTATATCTTTAATCTTTTAACCCTTTGTTTGCAGCTTGTGTAAATCTGCCTACCACCCCATGAGCAAAGATTCAGGAATTTTTGTGGTGCGCCATTCAAAATGTTATGTGCAAAATGCTTGCATCATATGATGTTAACTGCAATTGAAGCATTAATTAATAATAGGTCTGTGATGTGTAGGTACCATAAGCTAAAGCACTGTATAGCATAGCATATTACAATATATCCATTCAGGATTTTTAATAAAAGTTTTGGCACTGACCTAAATGTTCTAAGACAATCTTATCCTTATACTTTGCTAATTCTGCCTTTAGGAATAACCATTCAAGTTTGTAGGCTTAGTCAAAGACTTGTCTATTTCAACATCTGGTCACACCACCACCAACCTACCAAAAAATTCAGTTACAGACATTTACTGTATTGATCATGATAATCACCAGAAAGTGGAGATGTTTCTCATGTTGTTAACTGATCTGTTTTCAGGTCAGTGTTTTTGAAGCGAGGGTTGTGCATCCTATCTTACCAGCCTTATTGGATGATAATGCCAATTTTGGAAGTAGCACAGCATCAGAAAAACAAGCTACTTCATTTTCATTTGACCAAAACTGTTTGAAGTTTCTTTATGTAAGTGTCTTCTCAAACTCTTTTAAAAATTGTCCACAAAATGCAAATTTATTTTGTTTATCTGTATAATTTTGTATTTAATTTTAGTGTCTACGAGTCTTTTTTTTCCTCAGACATGTACTGAAGAAGAATAGTCAACTAATCGAAAGCACTCGAGTTCTGGGTCTCGTTTTGAAAATATGTACTCTGCAGGGTCACTGTTTCTATTTTTATAATAAAAATGATAGTTTTCTTACACTTCTTTATCAACCATATAGTTTATTCCAAAGTTTTCAAGACTGGTTAAATGTTTCAGAAACCATCACAATAGTCTTTAAAAACTAGATTGTTCTATTATAGATATTGAAGTTTCTTCCATTTTATTTGATTGTACACCTTTTAAAACATTTGTTATCTCAAAGTCAGGGTGCTCTTGTCTTTTTTAGTCTTTGCATGTGTGTGTGTATTTAGTTTTTGTTCCTGCTCAGAATGTAAATACATACAAGTGTATGATATGTATATCTTAGTGTGTTTATTGTTTTGTTTCTATATTGATGTGTGGTAATGTTTTATTTACTTTCATGAAGAATGATAAAGGAAAGAGGCAACTGCCGGTTGACTGGAGTTTGAAAACTAAAGTTCGCTTTATCTCAACCAAACCATTTCCTTGGAAGGGCAGTTTAAAAACATCTGAAGAAGCAAGTGGTACAACAGGATTTGTTAGGTGTTTGAACACAAACAAATCCCTGGAAAAGGTGTGTTGTTTTACTGAAAATTTATCCCTAGTGTAGTACCACAAGTTACTGAGTTCTGTACTTTTTCTGTTCTTATTAGTGACCAGAACATGCAATAAAATGAGTTGGTATTTATGTATATCAAATCGTGTTTGTGGTGTTGAATAGGAAATCATATTTTTTAAGAAGTCTTAGAGTGCAAGTCAATGTACTCACATATTTCATGCGTTGTAAAATGATTAAAATAGTAACTTAAAAAGTGAAACTTTGATTCTAGATTGACTACATTTTACAGATCTGAGATTCTAAATTGCTTAATATTTGTGCAATTTTGCTACTAAATGCAAAATATTTTTCAGAGTGTGTCATGATCATCATGTCATAATGGTTTAAGCCATTTTTTCCAAGAACTTTACAGATGATGCTATTAAGATGACACTAATATTTGAACTCTGTAATGCCATGTAGCAGGAATGCAGTTTAGACACCAGTCCAAGAGCTAAATTTCATCAGCACTGCTTGTTGTGGATGCACCCTTTCTTTCCTTGGCTCCAGCTTTTTCCCCGTATACATTCGGAAAGATGGAGGTTGGTAATCTAGATATACTTTTATCTTATTCTAATCTATCACGATAAGTTATGGATCTGAAATATCTCAAATCTTTGAGCTGTGTCTATACGCGCATTCCTTCTATTAATAGAAACAAGGATAATTATTATAATATATGCTGTGGTATTAACTGTAGATTATACACCATAATAATACATGTGTGTGTTTATATTTCCAATACAATATCTTAC